CAAAAAAAAAAAAAAAAAAAAAACAAGGTGCAAAACCCAAAGGAACCCCACAATTTACAGAGGATGATGGTTGATTGTGAAGTGTTCTGAAGCTATATCAGTTGTCTTAAACAGAGGAGAAACCTAAACTGGAAGATTACATCTGTCTTGTAAGTTGTAACTCAGTTCCTCAGAAGGATCTGAAGCTTTCATAAAAAACAACTGCTTGGAAAGCTTCAAGAATGGAACAAGGGGAAACAAGCAAAGGTACTCTCTGTCTTGTTCATATATGTCTGGAAGAACTGCTCGGTAACTGGGCAGATCTCAAATGATGCTCATCCTGCAATTGAAATCATATCAGCATTTGGTTAAGAAATAAAGAACAAAGGATAATACATATGTTCATGGATGGTAATCTGAAACCTGTATATAACTGAAACTGGTCGGTGGTGGCCGGAAATCCAGCTGGGCCTGTGGAGAATGAAAGCTAAAAGAATTAGAATAAGAAACCTTCCAATGTTATATAACAAAAGGAAATGTACTGTGCTGTACCAGTCCAGGAATGGCTTGTTGATTTGTGAAGAAGCTCTCGTGCACAGGAGCTATGGAATTCAGTTGTCCCTAAAACCGAATCCGAAAAAAAAGTTCAGTCATGAAAACTGAAAGAACAGAGTTTGATATGAATCGGTTCTTCACTAATCACTAATATGACTCACCAGGCCTTGGATGCTTCGTTGGTTTACAAAGTAGCCTTCATGAGGTGGTTCCATTAAGTTTAACTGCAAATCCACAGTAAAACACTGGTTTTAGTCTTCGGTAACTGATGTATAGAATATAGTTTTAGATTTTTATAACAACTCCCACGAAAAACAAGAATACTGAGCCACACCAATCCTTGAACGTTCTGTTGAGTCCCATAGAAACCGTTAAGGTTCATTCCCTCGGAGCTAAGGTTGTCCTAAACAGAGGAAAAATCAAAAGGCACGACGTGAAATTTAGCCTACAAATATCATCTCTGCCCTTTCTGCAATGAACGAGTGCCTATTGATCAAAGAGCTAACCATTTGCTGAAGATTAGGCTGAGGCTCAATAAGCATTTGATCAGCTTCTGGTTGCCCCTGCATCACACACAATTTTAATCAGTTTCTTAGAATTATACGAATGGATCGGTATCAATATTCTTGACAGAAGTTGAGCAAAAGATTTCCAACCTTTCTTTTCCGGACAATGGTCTTCTTTTTAGAAGATTTTGCAGAAGCTATTGCCTGATTCTCTTCTTCACCGGGATTGTGAGGTTGGCTGTTAGATTCAAGAATGTTGCTTCTTGAATTATTCAGATCAACACAGTTCTTGAGGGTTTCAACTAGGGTACGTAGAACAATGTTGTAATTCTCTTCAGACAGGCAACCTTCTTCGCTCAATTCAATGGCCCGTCTACACAAATCGTTATAACGCTGAACCCTTCCGGTCTGAAACTGATCGGTAACTTCTTCACTCGGTTGTCTGCTCTTAGCATCTTTTGTCCACCTTTTCAAAACATATTGAGGCGGTATGCTCGGGAAACCGCATATTTGTAGAACCATCAATGCGTGCCTACAAAGAAACCCTTTGTACTCAAACATGCGGCAGAAACAGCAAAGTTCTGAATTCGCCTTATTCCATGTCACGAGAAATTCATCTTCTTTTTCACAGTCTTGAACCCTAAATGTCAACATTGTTTCATCTTCACTTTCCTTTTTAGGATGGCAAGCCACAACCCCCAAAACCTCGACTTGGAATTTCTTAAATATCGTGTGGGTGTAAACTGCCGAAACTTGCTTCTCCCATGGTGAGGGAGATTTAAGTGCAGGCTGCTTGTGCCATGTATCGAAATCTGCAACAGATTCTTCCTCGTACCGATTCTGCAGAATTGCACCATATTGCTTAATGAACTCTCTCAGCCTGATTTTCTTGTGGATGTATTTATCGAAGAATGAGTTCATACTTTCAGAACGGGGAGACGTAGACATTCCCGCCAGAAACACATTGCTCATAAAAGTGGGCACCCACTTTTTCCGGTGTTCATACAACCACTGAATCCACTCGTCATCCTGAAGTTCAAATCGGGTGACCATTTTCCACCATCTCATATCAAATTGATCATCTGTCCAAGATCTGAAAACGCACTTGTTGAATTTTCGCAGAAAATTTTCATGCCTTTTCATCACGTGGGAGAAAGACTCGGGAATCTTTTCCAACACGTGCCACAGCGCGAAACAATGGTGAGTGTTTGGCAAGACTTCTGAAATGGCTGCCATCAAGACTTTGTCTTGATCAGTGAGTATCACTTTCGGAGCTCTACCACCCATTGCTCGAAGCCACGTCTTTAACAACCAGACGAATGTCTCTTTCGACTCATCTGCAACCAATGCAGAGCCAAGCAACATAGGTTGGAAATGGTGGTTCACCCCGACGAAAAGAGCCAACGGCAATTTCTCGTTGAACTTGACATAAGTAGTATCGAATGATACAACATCACTGAAACTCGTATAATCATCTCTGCTCTTGGCATCAACCCAACACAGATTTCTCAAACGTTGCTCCTCATTTAGGTCTATTGCGTAAAAGAATTTCGGGTTTTCCTTCTTGATACGCTTGAAGTACTCAAGCATTACTTGAGAATCACCTTCCTCCATCACCAGATATCGACCCATATCATCAAGCTGACTGTCAATTTCAGACTGAGGCAACTCAATCTTCTTTAATCCACCCGAGTGTCTTGACATCTCGACATACATTTTCTTTGTCCGTTCGCTGACAGCATGAAGAATGTCAATATTATTCTTCTCGGCTAACTTAACGTTCCTCTGAATCCGGAAATGGTAAGCAAGAGCAGGCAGGAGCTCGTGATTGTGACCCTTGATGAACTCGTGAATTATCCATTTCCCATCAGGCCTTCTCTTCACATGCATACTTGCTTTGCAATCTGTTTTCTTCAAACTTGACCGTCTGCTATTACCACTCTCAGATTCAGGAGTCACTCCATATCTAGAACAGGCAAACTTGGCATCAATGAATTCTTTTGTTTTCTTTGAACGGCGGCTATTCTTTATCGACGTGGTAAAACCCATAGATTTTGCATATTCTTGATAGAACGAGTATGCTGCCTCGTGTGAATCAAACTCTATACCATCTCGCGGCTCAAGATCCACATCCCCACTAGTACCAAGTCCCCCTGCTTTAGGGTCATGAACATTTCCTACATCTCGGTTCTGCGATTCATCCACAATGTCAACCATATTTTCATCCCCATTTCCATTGACCCGATTCTCCTGAGAATCCATTCTGAAGTCAGCCACATTTGGATTCACTAGAATCCTTCTCATACCCACAAGACATTACCAACCCATTGGCTCCCATGAAAACAAAAATCAAATCTTTCCAATAGATAATTCACCTTAGCACCTGAAAATCATACAACAAAGTTCATAAGAACCGAAGCATATACAGATATCATATCACACACGAGCAGGATTTCTCTTCTGATCTATGTCGTTCACATAAACCGAATCTAGAAAACCAATGCAACAGAAAATTTCATCAACAGCTTACGGGAAAAGCGAAGGATTTCTCGAACAAGCTCTTACTAATTAAAAAAAAAGAGTTCCCAGCCTCTCTAAACAACGAGAACTCAGATTCTCAGAAAGTCGCCGAATTTACATAGGAATGACACCGGAATCTAAAGTCCGAACTAGAGAAATCCCGAAATTCAGAAACAAGAACACGGGAAAGCCCTGGGATTACCTAAACTTTTTCCCGCATTTTCTCGGCAGCCAAACAGGTACCCAGAAAGCGACAGAGAAACCAAAGAAGGAAACAGAATCTCACGTGGAGAGAGCGAAGCAAAAACACCAAACGGGGACAGCAGGCGAGTGGGGAAGCAGGCGAGTGGGGAAGCAGGGGGGAGAAAATCTAGGGTTCCCCTCTTTTTTTTCTTTGAACTTTTAGGGATCTGCAGATTTTTTTTTGTTTCTTCGTATCTCTCTCTCTCCCCACTAACATTTCTCTCACTCGCTCCCCGCGTTTGTCTCAAACGCGCAACGCGATTTTCCTCAGCGCGTCGCGCGTTCACCTGTGGCGCGTTTCTCATTTTTAAACAGTAACTCGTATAACGAAATATATAAATAACAAAAAAAAAAAACAAATATAAATGATGAACTGGGTACCAAAATTAGAGAATTTAACAAAGAAAAGAAAACAGATATGGTTTTAAAACAAAAAAGGTAAAAATATTACACAAGTAGAACATCTTAATTATCAGAAAAATGCCAAAATCGAACAGTTTGAGATCCGCAAGTGAAGGAACACACAAGGACAACTACCAAGTACAAACACCAAAAAAACACACAATATCTTTACAAAAGTCAGTTCCTTTCATGTTCCTGGTGATTTTTCCAAACTAAAAGCGTCCTATTTATTACCACTTGGAGTCTCCAATGATCCTAATAAGGAAAGGATTCCTCTTCCGCTCAGACCTGATCCAGAATAACTTCGCCAGATTCAGTTCCAATACCTCTGCTGAATCTCAAAACTTGGTCGGAATCTTCGTCAATCGAACACTTTCACTCTTTGGCTTATTCACTGATATCTTCAATGCTTTTTGGTTTCACGGGGGATGTCTAGAGGCGTTGTTGTGAAGCTGAGCCGTCCTGACATTCGGGTCGTCCTGTTCGTGCAAGAAAAAATGAGTGTCTCTTTCTGTGAGAGAAGTTCGTGTTTTTGATGGTTTATCGGTTATTATGGTGGAAGAAACCGGCGTTTCTTTTCATACCCGAATGTCGTATGAAAAAGCGGAAGGTCTGAAGAAATCCAATCCTGACTGCAAGGAACAACAACCAGTGCGTGAGTATCAGATTTTGTTGCACAATATGTCGGAACATACTTCGACAACTACATACCATCTCGGGAATCCCTTGCTGAGCACTGTAGTAACTGCCATGGCTCGATGCTATCGAGTTTAACTGCCCCTACACACAAAAAAAATCCACCAGAGAGATTTTTTTACCAAAAAAGTTCACCACAAAAAAAAAACAGCAGAAACTGGTTACATATGGGGTGTATTATCATACCAATCCTTGAATTTGTTGATTCCCGTAGAAACTCTCCCGAGTTGGCGCCATTAAGTTCAGCTGAACCTTTAAAACACACATTGGAACGGTTGCATAAACGAATATCAGATTCGAGCTCTCTACAAGACAAGGAATTGGAAAATATTTTTTTTTTGTCAATATAAGAATGTACCATTCCTTGCACACTCGGCTGTGTGGCATAATAACTCTCGATGCTGACTGTTCTTGGACTTAATTTATCCTGCAAATGTGAGATTACGCACCAAAATACAAGACGGGTCAAATTTAACAGAGAAGGGTAGTAAGCTTTTGTAGCATAGTAATTGACAAGACAGACCATCTGTTGCATATTTTCTGGTGCTCCAACTGGCATGACCTCCTGCTCCGAGTTTACCTGCAAGTTAAAATTTGAAATCATCATACATGTAAAGTTAGAAAAGAGCTAAGCTTTAGACAAGTTTGATGCTAAGTGCAAATCCATCAAGACATTACTTTTCTTTTCTTTGTCGGATTCTTTTTCTTGCTTGTCTTGCCTGTACTTCTGCTCTGGTTATCCTCTTCAACAGAGATCAGACCTTGAGTTGGGGAAGTGACCAGTTCCTGAGGGCTTTTCCCGGCGGTATTAACACCGGCACAGTTTTCTAAAGCTTCTTCAATGGCACGGTATGCAATGTTGTAACTCTCTTGAGAAAAAGATGCCTCCTCACTCAGTTTCAGGGCTCTCCGGCACAAATCATTATACCGTTGCAGCCTTGTCTGTAACCGTTCGGGTTCTCCAGTAAAATCCCGGTTTTTTGCATCTTTTGTCCACCGCTTCAATATATACCGAGACGGGATGGAGGAGAGATGGCAACGCTGGAGAACATTAAGTGCATGTCTACAGAGATAACCTTTGTACTCAAATAACCGGCAAATGCAAGAAACCTGAGACTTTGTTTGGTTCCAAGTAACTACAAAGTCCTGGTTCTTTTCGAAATCCTGAACTCTGAAAATGAAGCATGTTCCATCTCTGTTCTCCTCTCTTGGACTACATGCAATCGCACCCAAAACTTCAACCTGAAATTTTCTGAATACTGCGGGAGTATAGATTTCAGAAACGCTTTTCTCAAATGGTGACGGAGACTTCATGGTCGGCTGCTTATTCCATGCATCAGAATCAGCTTTGGCTTCCTCTTCATATCTATCTTGCAGAATCGCATCATACAACTTCACAAACTCTTGTACGCTTGTCTTTTTATGCAAGTACTTGTCGAAGAAGGCGTTAATACTATCAGTTCTTTGAGAAGTAGACATCCCTGCCAAAAGAACATCAGTCATGTAGGCCGGCACCCATTTCCTGCAGTCTTCATATAGTGACTGCATCCATTGATCCTCTTTGAGACCAAATCTATCAAGGATCTTCCACCACCTTCTTGCAAAGTCTTCATCTCTCCAGGATTTATAGATGCACTTTTCAAACTTCGGTGTAAAATTATCGTGTTGCTTGATTACCTGACCAAGATTCTCAGATACCTTTACCAATACGTGCCAAAGGAAAAAGCAATGACGGGTATTGGGGAAGACCTCAGGAACAACAGAGTTCATAACACTGTCCTGCTCAGTGATTATAACCTTGGGAGCTAGTCCACCCATTGCTTTGAGCCAAGTATGCATTATCCAAGAAAATGTGGTCGCACTCTCATCCGATATTACAGCACACCCGAGTACCATGAACTGATAGTGCTGGTTTACTCCAACAAAAATGGCAAGTGGCATCCTGTACTTGTTTCTTACATAAGTGGTGTCAAGAGAGACAACATCACAAAAACTGCCGTAATCATGTCTGCTTTTTGCATCCACCCAAAATACAGTCTTCAGTTGCTGATCGTCACCAAGATCTACAGCATAAAAGAAGTTGGAGTTCATACTTTGCATCCTAGATAAGAAATCAAGCAAGATCTTGATATCCCCGGTTTCCACTGCTGAATTCCGACCTTTTTCAAATGAGCTTTTAGTATTGTTATTTAGGCTAATAACAGTCTTGTATTCAGCAAACTGTCTAGCCATTGCTGCATATATCTTTCTAGTCTGTTCACTCACAGCTTGCGCAGGTAAAAGCTCATGATTATGCTCCCTCACAAAGCTATGAATAATCCATTTCCCATCAGGCCTTCTCTTTACATGCATGCTTGCTTTGCAGTCTGTTTTTCCACATGCCCTTCGACCAGCCATGTTTTCCGGCTCTTGCTTGTTTTGACTAACACGAGGTTTGTTGAAGGACTTGTCGTATTCTCTTTTGGTACCATACCTAGAGCAGGCGAATTTTGCATCGATAAACTCTCTTGTTGTTTTTGAACGACGACTGTTCTGTATCGCAGTGTTGAAACCCATTGCCCGTGCATATTCTTGATAGAATGAATAAGCTTCGCTATGGGACTCGAATTCCATACCATTGAGAGGTTCAAGATTCATACCCTCTTTGTACTCAACCAACTCTGCTGTTGGGACCATGCCTACACTATCATCAGCTTGCACCTCAACTGTAACATCCTCCATTTTGCCGATTTCCATATCACCATTATGTAATTTATGTTCGTCCTCCAACACATTATCGATACCTCTCTCCTCACCATCTTCTTTGCTCTGGTCACCTGAAGGTAACCGGAGATTTATATCCATGACAAGAGCCTTCTTAATGCTCTAAGCAAGCACACTTCCTACAACACTGAAGGCTTGCAACAGAATCTACAATAAGTACATATTTCAGGTAAAATATATATCTGCAAAGATAACTACAACAGATATCAATAGGAAATTTCCATCCATTACACAGCTTTTACCTCGAAAGGAACAAAATTGTTCCTGGGCATTCCCGGGGAATTCCGACATGACCCATGAATCGAGAAGCACATGTAGATGCATTTAGTCATTTCATTGAAGAGTAATAACGTGTTCGTAGCAAAATTCTTAGTGGGCATTTCATTTTCAGCGAATTCTGAGGGGCACAACGTCCGGCACCCAATTTCAACATGATCAACACAAGGAAGCAAGCTAATCGAACAGTATAGAAACGCCGTTCTCGTTCTCAAAGAAAAAGAAATTGAGAACAGCACAATCTGGGTATCCTACTAACACAGCTGAAATATAAGTGGTAAAAGCATCGGAATTTCGGCGTGGATACGAACCAGAACGGAGAAATTAAGCAGAATCGGAGAAAGCACCTTGCTTTATTTCTTCGAGAGGAGCAAAGACGACGGAGAAGACGTCGGAGAGTGAGAACCACGCGCCGGAGGATGCGAGTTGGGATTCGATCTGCGAGAGAGACAACGTGAATGAGAGAGATCGTGTTTGTTCCTCACGCGATGTGTCGGGGCGAGTGGGGGAAAGGGAAGATCCGAAAGTTCCTATTTGGGACTAGGGTTTTTCTCTCTCCGAGGACCGAAGGGTAATATTGTAATTAGACATCGGGTGGCGTGAATGGATGATGGCGCGTGGGGGTTGGTGGTGGCGCGTGGGGGCTGAGCCTCGGTGTCCTCCATGAGCGTGACGGGAACTATTGAACAAGCATTTACCAAATTACTGAATTTTAGTATATGCTATTGTCACATTAATTTATTCGGTTATGGTTGTTAATAATGCGTAATGCTAGACACTTCAAAAACATAATAAAAAAATATTCGTGCAAAAATGAAATAAAATAAATATACATTGGAGAATGTTCGTAGCCGATCCATGCGGTATGCGCGCCATCATTACACCGTGACCTACCCGTCTAATAATAATAATAATAAATTAATAATAATAATAATAATAATAATAATAATAATAATAATAATAATAATAATAATAATAATAATAATAATAATAATAATAATAATAATAATAATAATAATAATAATAATAATAATAATAATAATAATAATTTAGAGAGAACATTAAAGCAAAATGTGTTGATTTTCACGTAAAACTTAAGATAAGTGTGTATGATCAGTTTCATTGAAGAAGCAGTGATTTTCCAACTCATGCAGTGTTATTCTTTCCTTTGGAATATAATTAGTGATGATAATAAGATTTGATATTTTAAACAAAAAAAAAAAAAAAAGATTTGATACGTTGCAGATATTCATGATCCCTAAATTTAGGTTCAAACAAGTTCACACTATTTCTTAGTAAGCATTAGAATAGATATATATATATATATATATATATATATATATATATTATTTTTATTGATTATGTAATGAATTTAATATAGAATAGAATATGAAAACCAAAAAAAAAAATAATATAGAATAAACTTTGTTTTTAATGTAATGAATAACCAAATTTAAACTATAGGGAAAATCCTAAATGTTATTAGTCGAGCACTAATCCCTTTAAATTTTAGAGGTCGAATCCTCTTAATCTTTTCCAATTATATACAATCTAAATGTGTCTACGAATTTCAACTTCATAAAAAAAACCTATAAATAACATAAATCTTTTATATTTTCTTTAGTTTTTTTTTTATAACAGAGGATCCGAGCAGCTTTGTATATGGATCATATAAACCCTCAACCTCAAGGTGGAGTTACCTCCTAACTCAAGTTTGACCACTCGCCCACGATCTGTTGGGTTCTTTAGTTTTCTTATAGCACATGTTAATGATTTATCGATATTTACAAAATGTTAGATATATATTATACAGATAAAATTCCATATGAAACACAGGAACTACGTTACAGATGATAATATAGCAAAAATACTCTTACTTTGCTACAAAGACTTCATGGTATACCCTTCAAAACCCTAAAATTTTGGAAAAAAAAAATAAAAGAAACAAAAGACATAATTAACACTCTCACAAAAATAATGTGATACTCCTCTCTTCATTTTGAATTCATCTCTCTCGTTTTTCATTCTTTGACAACTCTTCATTTTTTTCTTAACTTTCTCTCTCCACTCTTATCTTTCTCTCAACACTTTCATTTTCTCCCTTCTCATTTCATTTTTATATATAGAAAAACAAACGAAAAATGATTATTTCGTTAAGCATATCTTCACCGACGACCTCGTATCTTCTTCTTGAGTCGGTCTAAGACAGAACAAATGACAAGAACTGAAGGTAAGTTCATTAATACAAGAGATTGGTTCGATGCATAAACTTTGTATTTTGGGTTTGAGTTTTATGATTGTTAGAGTGAATCGTGTGGTTTTTTTTATGAAAATGAGATAGATGCATAGCAAATCTGTCGAAGAATATGCAAGAGACACATTTAATTTCAAATAAATGTTCGGAGCGATAATGGAACGGATTGACAACGAAAACAAAGGTACGTCATATTGGTTACACCGTTTAAAATTTAATTTTGATCGCACTGGTCACACTAGTCAACCTGGTTACACCGTTCAAAATTTAGTTTTGATCACACTAGTCATATTGGTCACACTGGTCACATTGGTTACACTAGTCATATTGATCACATTGATCACATCGTCTTTTTATTTATGCATCTATCAATTATGTACAATCTATTATTATTCTCGTGTGATTTAAGTGCACACTCGAATGATAGTTCATGTTAATGATTTATCGATATTTATAAAATGTTAGATATATATTATACAGATAAAATTCCATATGAAACACAGGACAGATTCTTCTAAAAAATACAAAAAAAAAACATTTTAATTGTCGTGAAATTCGAGATCCATTGTTTATGTTATAAAATGGATAAATTCGAAGCTTTAAAATTTTAAATTTGTATTTTGTACGAAAAGGAAAAAAAAAAGAAACAAGTAGACACGTCATCATCAGCCAATAAAGCTTTGTTAACCACCTTCCATTGTCTCTTCTCGTCTTTTAGACTGTCAAGCGTCAACGCTTTTCTATTTTGTCATTTTCTTCTCCCCTTCTTATTCCTTTCCTCTTTTTTTTTTTGTTCCGTTTTTTTTCCTTCTCCTCTGCGCTCAAATTTTCCCGTTACTTCCGCCATGGCCGCGTTTCTCATTCTCACCTAAGCTTCGCTATTCATAGATTTCACGGGTTGCTATCTTCTGGGCTGTCGCTAATTTTGGGATTTTTTTTTTCAAATTTAATTTATTGCTCTACTTTCCTCTTCTACCACTTATACTATGTGTAACCTACCACTGTAAGAGAGAGAAAGAGAGAGAGAGGGGGAGCCGATATTTACTTCTGTCCCCTTTCCCTATTCTGGGTAGTGCGTTTCCGGTGAGGAAACTTATTGCGGCGGCGGCGGCGGCGGGGGCGGTGGGATTAGGGTTTTGCTTGGCTTATTGTGGGCCGTGACTCGTGAGTGTTGGTATTGGGGCAGATATGGTGCGGAAACATGGATGGCAGCTTCCCGCTCACACATTCCAGGTCTAGATGCAACTTCTGTAGCTTTGAATCGAGCTTAATTCTTGTTTTTTTTCCTTCGCCACCAAGTTCAGGGTTCGATTAATTTAGTGTTCAAACGCGATGAGATATGTTCCCTGGTTGCTTTGTAATATCGTTCCCTTTTGCTCTCTGGGTTTTGTTACTTTTGCGTGATTTCTGGAATTTGGCGACTTGAAGTCTAGTATGGGTGTGATGTGTCGATTATGGACATGTTTCCGAGTGATTTGTGCTCTGAATTCTGGCAGGTGGTCGCCATTACCGTGTTCTGCTTGCTCGTGGTCGCATATTACGCGTTCTTCGCTCCCTTTGTCGGAGGCCGTATTTGGGAGTACGCTTTGATCGGTGTTTACTCCCCTGTGGTATGCAAACGCTTCTCGTGATGGATTTAACAATTTCAATTCTAGGGTAAATCCGTTGTTTCGATGTGGATAAGATGCTAAATTAAGAGTTTTGAGACGTCACTGATGATAGTTGATGCTGATAAGTATAATGATCAATACAAGATCCATATATGCCATTGCCCTGTCTGTTTAGATCACTTAATGGATATACGATTCATATGCGTCTGCTTGTGCAGGCCCTCCTCGTTTTCGTTCTATATGTTCGGTGCACTGCCATCAATCCTGCAGATCCTGGAATAATGTCAAAGTTCGATACAGTCACTAACGGACAACCTGGGACAGAACATGTCTTGCCGAACAAAGATGCCTCTAGAAAATTCGATGAAACCGGCAGTCAATTGCAGTCTTCTCCTTCAGTTGCCTCCAGGAGTTCAACCTTTGCAGCAAACTCTAGCGTGAAAGGTTCCATAGGAGATATTCAGAGAGCTATGGATGCACCGAACAGGAAATCTTGCTTTAATCCTTTTGTAATCTTCTGTGGCCTGTTTATTCATGAAGATTGCCGCAAACAGGAAGAATCCACCGAACAACAAGGAAACAATGAAGAAGCTCTTTTCTGCACACTGTGCAATGCCGAGGTATTAAGTTACCGATAATGGTCCCGAGCTGTAGAAAAGCTACATTCCCATTTCTGAAATCTTGACTGTTGCAGGTTCGTAAGTTCAGCAAACATTGTCGGAGTTGTGATAAATGTGTCGATGGTTTCGATCACCATTGTCGGGTATGTTTTCTTGTTGATTTAGATTTTCTCCATGCAGTAAAATGGACCTATTTTAATGCTTGTTGATAAAAGTTTCATGGGTTCATGGAATAACATAGTTCTCTTTAATGTTACAGTGGCTAAACAATTGCGTTGGTCGTAAAAACTATATGACTTTTATCTCTCTAATGACTGTCAGTCTTCTCTGGGTACGTATATGCTGCCAATATACTCATTTTTGAACTAATGATTTGTTTCTTAACCTCTAATATCGTCGATTAACCTGTGCCTCTCTCTTTCCTGTCAGCTCACTATCGAAGCCGGGATTGGGATTACAGTTTTGGTACGTGTATTCGTTAACAAGAAAAGCATGGAAACTGAAATTGTCGATAGACTTGGAAATGGTTTTTCCCGAGCACCCTTTGCTACCGTCGTTGTAAGTATTCTTCGTGTAAAGTCTTTCCATTTGAGATGAGCTCAGCTCCTACAGTTAACATTCCTAATATCTTTATCTTGATCACTTTGTTTTTTTTTTTTTTTTTTTTTTTTTGGTTTAGGGTCTCTGCACTGCTGTTTCAATTCTGGCATGTTTTCCACTGGGTGAACTTTTCTTTTTCCACATGCTGCTCATTAAAAAGGTCAGCAAGCAAGAAACTTGTTTTGCTTTTTATCAGTTAGTTTGCTTAAAAGGGATCTCACTGTTAGTTTCAGCTCATCGATCTCATCATTCGAATAAATTCAGTAGCAGAAAGGAATCCAATCCATGCATTTTAAGTGGAATTGATGGATTTGGTTTATTTGGTCTTATCCTTCTTGAACTAATACCGAGTGGCCGGGAAAAAGTTTTCCCCGAGAAATATGAACTCCATTGCGTGTCTGAAACCAACAGGGCATTACAACTTACGAGTATGTTGTGGCAATGAGAGCCATGAGTGAGGCGCCAGCCGGAGCATCAGTTGACGAGGAAATCCCGAACGTGCTCTATTCTCCTTCTGGATCCGCCACAACTGGATTTAGCGGTGGAAGCTCGCTCGGTCTGCCGTACAAAGGGGCTTGGTGCACTCCACCCCGAGTTTTCGTTGATTATCAGGTAATATTCTCCTTTCCGGAATACTTCTGGGGATGAAATTCGTTTTAACATTCCTTTACCTATCTCTCTTAGGATGAAGTCATACCACATTTAGACCCGGGAATGGTCCCATCAACCGTAGACCCTGATGCTGCGGGGGCAGCAGATAGAGGCAACAAGATCCCGAAGAGACCCATCAAAATTAGTGCTTGGAAGCTCGCAAAGTTGGATTCGAACGAAGCCACGAGAGCTGCTGCCAGAGCCAGAGCTTCCTCTTCCGTCTTACGACCGGTGGAAAATCGCCGTTTACCTGATCATGAACTTAGCTCAAGCGGCAACATCAGTGTCATTAGTAGCATGAGCACGGACGGGAATGTGGTGGTGGAGAAGGAGAGAAGGAACATCGATTCGAGGTTGTCGCTTTCTAGAAACTCTCTTGCCCCGAGCCAAGGCAGCCGGGATGAGTATGAGTCCGGGACACATAGTGTGAGCAGTTTCTGCAGTCCGAGCCATGGTCACGAGTCTGTAACGCTTAGCCCTCTCCCTCAGAGTCATACGGTCGATCACCGCTTCACCATGGCTGCAGCCTCGTCAAATGTCCGGCCACCGCTTAACCCGACAACCCATCACGTTCAACCCACTTTCGACGAAAGGATTCTGCAAAAAGGAAACGAGGCTGATCCATTGCTTCTGTCTGCTCCAGCGGCTTCGCTTCTTCGAGATATGAGGAGGACATCGGTTGTTTGGGACCAAGAAGCTGGAAGATACGTATCAGTTCCCATAACAACAACATCTGAGACAAGAAACAGATTTTTGTCGCAGAACCAAACGAATCAGAATCAGAGTCAGGTTCTTGTCACAACGCAAGATTCGTCTTCCGGGCCATCAGCACCGAGGGCTCATCCTCCTCCGCTTCAACAACAAGGAGAGAGGCTGACATACACAGGTGAATCTATCTTCTTCGGCGGGCCACTGACAAGCATCCCTAGCAGAGATAACCCGAGAAACGAGAGAGGCTCGGGAAGAGACGGGCTAGACAGATTAGCATTGACATTGCCCCGGGAAGCGAGGTTCAAAAGGGATTCAACCTCCAACCAGCTACCTGTATTCACCCCAGGCGGTCACTCGCAAAACTCGCAACCCCGGTTCTAGCCTCAAGTAGCCTGAGGAAGGGAGACTCTGATCTTCTACCCGAGACACCTTACGGGTTCGAGAAGAGGACGACTAGTGGGAAATCTGCGGGAACTCGCCCACGGGTGAAGCGTGGATTGCCACGAGAATCCGAGGTATTCATTTCGTTTCTCGGTAATGTTATTCCACGGGGTTCGGGCTTTCGATCTGTTCTCGAAGAACCATGACATTCTCCAATGTATCAAGAACATGTATCTTTTGTTTCTCGCTGTACACAAAGTTGCAAACTTTGCCTTTTCTAAGTGTGTCAAAGCCGATATTAGAGGATGGAATTGAATGATATTATTACCAAAAGTGAGTTTTGAATATGAATATAGTAATAGTACGATTCAGGCGGGGAATGGAACATAAATCAGAATGTCGTTACAGCACAAGTCCTAAGTATATATGACAATGGGACTTCTGACAGTACGAGAACCGTCTGACCAGACCAGAGTCGCCGACTCGAAATCCGCAGAACTCATCCCCGAAACCTTAACGATGAACAACTTTTTCTCGCCGACCGATTTGAAAGACAGGGTGTTAGGCTCGATCTCGACCTTTAGATCCGAAGAAGATACCACTTTCGCCTTGTACGTCGAGCTTGCCGGCCCGACGTTGGTTACAGTCCTCGAAAACGTGATTTCCGAAGGCTTTGATGACGAATTGAATCTCACGCTCAACGAAGGGTAGTTGAGATCTTTAATCGCCAAGTTCGGTCCTTCCGGGCAGCTCACAGCTCTTCCCGCAATGGCTTTAAGCTCGCCGGCAGTGTAATTCGCCGAGCAAAGCATCTTTAAGTAATCATCTCCTGTTATTTCATAGACAAGTCCCGGATCCGCCGCTTTTGTCGGGTTCAGATGTCCCGATCCGTACGCGAATTCATTCACTTCTTCGCTGCTCGAAGCGTTCATCGGCCAAGCTGCAAGAAATCCAGTTCAAGGTTGTCTGAATATCTAATATATACAGAGATCGAAATGTTTCGGTTTTAGTTACTTACCAGTTGTCATGATCGCGGATTTGATAGTGGACGGGGACCATTTCGGGTGGATGGTCTTGAGATAAGCCGCGACGCCAGCTACGTGAGGACAAGCCATGGATGTTCCGGACAAGAAATTGTACGAGGAACGTCGTCCATCGTCGATTCCAGGCACCAGGGTGGCTACAGCCGAATAAGCTGCGAGAATATTCACTCCCGGAGCCGTTATATCGGGCTGCAATCAAGTTTTCAGCGTCATTTTCCTGGATGAAACTCGTCGCGAAAATACGTATAACTTCGATCACAAGTCGAAAACTTTTAATGTAGTTTTTACCTTCAAGATATCGCCGAGTATAGTGTTCGGACCACGAGAAGAGAAAGTGGCCATAACAGGAGCATCGACACCATTTGTCGTCTCGGTTTTCAGTATAGTTCCTTCCGGTTTTCTGTCAGACATCAACGATATATAAAACTCGAGAAATCGGAGATTTTTCGGGTTTTACGGAACAACGAAGAAAAAGATTCTTACGCTGTCGATTTGATGTAAGATGTGAGCAATGAATACTGATCTTCAGGCAAGAATGCAAGAGGAACTGTACTAATAACAGGACGTGAAACGTTTCCCTGAATGATAACTCCAGCAGGTTTTGAAGATCCGATAGAGCCTTTTAAGAGTGGCTGATCACACACCAGAATCTTTCCGTCCAGTGTGGAATCAATGCATCCCGATTTGCATCTCCTGCAGAAATTCGCCACGAAATCTCGATTGAATAGTCGGGTTTTCGTGTTCATATCCGTTCAATACTGGGGAATTGCAGAGTTTAATACCTGACATCGTCTTCGCTGCAAGAATTCGAACCGGATTTTCCATACGAGAAAGGAAACTTCGTTCCGTTTAGTTTGAAACCGTTGATCGAAGTTCCCTGTTAGATCGATCACATCAGCTTGTGCTCATGTTCTTGACAAGACTACATGAACTCCAAGCCTTAAATATATATGAACTGATAAAACTTACAGATAGTTCTTTTCCATTTCCAAGAGCAACCTTGGTGATAAATTTCCGATCCGTTGTACTCGCTGCGACGGTTAGAATCCACGGAGAGATACTACCGACGGATCCCGAGATCGGGCCGCTGTTTCCCGCTGAATTTACGGTCAAAATACCTTTATCCATAGCGTGAAAAGCCGCGATAGAGATCGGGTCATAATCCAAAGCGGCAGGGGCCCCTCCGATGGAAATCGTAATAACGTCGACAGCGTCAGCTATGGCATCGTCAAAAGCTGCCAAGATTGATCCGGAATCGCACAATTCGTCCTCGCAGACTTTGTACGTAGCGATTCTGGCCGAAGGGACACCTCCTCTTGCCGTTCCATTAGCTATCCCGTAGAAGCTTGCGCCTTCTACTTTGCTCCCCGCAGCCGTAGAAGAAGTGTGTGTTCCGTGACCTGAGAGGTCTCGAGCTGATTCACCAACGTAAAACCGTGCGCCTATCAACTTGCTGTATCGACAACAAAGAAAATGCGGTTTCGGGTTATCATATGAATCAAGAAAGGTTATGAATTTTGGGTTTTGAAAGTTGTTCTTTACTTGTTACAGGTGAAGTTCAATCCTCCTTTGCAAACGCCCTTCCATTTTGCGGGCGGAGGGCTGAGGCCTTTGTCTGAAAAGCTCTTGGACTCAGGCCAGATCCCGCTGTCGATAACCCCGATGACAATATCGCTCTCAATCTCGGGGTTACGTTTGAAATTGTCGCCAAACCCCATGAAATCCCAAGATCTCGTCGTCTGAAGAGATAACTTCATGCTCGGAAAGACCGAAACTACGCCTTCCATGGCTGTGAACGTACGTTTGCATTCAGGAAAATCGAAGAATACAATACAAAAACACAAATTCTTGACTGAAAAAGTTTCTGAGAACTCACCAGAAAGCTTCTCTCTTTCAGATTCAGTCAGCTTCGCCTCAAAGCCATTGAAACTCCTCCCGTAGTTTCTGACCAATGAGTTTTCGACAGAACTGCAAAAAAACCGAAGTAAAGATCGATCCATAACGCCGAAAACATAAACGGAAAAGCGATATTTTTCTATCGAAACTTGAGGATAATAAACCTGGTAACTTGTTGAAGGATGTGTTGATGGTGAGACATAGCTGAATATTGACTGTCAGAAGGGAGAGCTCCCATATAGACGATGTACGCCTGCAAGTATCGTTATCACCGCTGTTATATGCTTTTGGAGACGGAAAAAACAGGTTTTTCGGATAAAAAAATATCGGAAAAAGACAAAGGGAAACTCGCCTTTCGATCATCCTCGACAGTTGCAGAAGCGGAGCATAAGCAGAGAAGGAGGAGAGAGGAGAGGGAGAGGAAACCAAGGGAAGCCATTGTTGAGTTTGAGTTTGAGTTTCAGACACGAGTCTGGGGCATGTTGTTTATATAGACAAGAAATGATTCTGCATTTACTCTGGGGGGGATTTTTTACTTGTTTTGATCAACAATGAATTGCATCTTATGACTTTTAATCATCTTTTATGAAACAAGATTGTATGAATCTGATTGTAAATTCCTTCATTTGGCCAAAATATGTCAGATTCAATTCCATATTAAGGTGCAAGAATCATATTTTAGAAAGGAGAAATAAATTCATGTAAAAAAGGACATAACAGGCAAAACCTTATATCAGACATCCAGTGAACATGGTCTCAAGTTCGGTTGCCCTTTCTCATGGTCTGTCAATTTAATTATTACCCATTTTTAACAAACGTTTATCTAATTAAGCTTCGATTCATGCATGCATGCATGGCCGTACTAATAACCGGAAACTTTTATTTTTTCCCTCTATTGGTCTTAAATTAAATGCAGTTGAGTTTTAGCCGCGAAGAGATGGGTTCATCATCCCATTTAGTGAATCTGTTTGTGAGTAACAGGAGCGTTAAGGGCTCAAGGAACCTCAGTGAGCATATGGGCTTGTTGATTTCTCCGGTGCCGGGAGAGCACTGAGTTTCGAGGTCGGTGATCGTAACGGGGGTTCTGGGTGGATCAAGACTTGGTGTTTTCTTCAAATATTCAGCGTAAAGAGATTAAGAAGTTTGGAATCTTGGGTACACTGGCACTGGATATGACCAGCGGAACTCGGATTTTCGATTGATTGTTGCGTGGGTTTACCCGGAAAAGTTGCGGATTCGATAAGAGGCGAATGTGCATTCGAGAAACGCATTTGAGAACTCGAGATGGGGCGTTACGAAGTGCACACGGAAAATTTGCGTCGAAGCTTGAAGGTTGGTACGAGTGTTTGTGTTTCAAGCTAAGAAAACAGAGTGTACGTTTTCTGATAGAGATTCTGAAGAACCAACAAGGACGAGGGAGCAGGGTACACCACGAGAATCCCCACGGGGTTCGGGCTTCCGATCTTTGCCTCCTCGGTTTTCGTCACCCGGGCATCGCCAGCTTTCTCTGATACGTTCTTCATATGCCTCTCGTCCTCTGTATCAAGACTGTAAAGCCAATGGATAGCGCCATTGATACAATTCTAAAAGACATAATCATAGAAAGAGAAAACAATCTAATCGGATATTAGAGGATGGAACTGAATGATATTATTACCAAAAGAGAGGTTTTCGAACAATTGGAATATAGTAGCAATAGTACGGATTCCGACGGGGAATGGAACATACATCAGAATGTCATTACAACACAAATCCTAAGAATATATGACGATGGGGCTTCTCACAGTGCGGGAACCGTCCGACCAGACCAGAGTCGCCGAATCGAAATCCACAGGACTAATCCCCGAAACCTTAACGGTGAACGATTTCTTCTCGCCGACCAATTTGAAAGAGAGGGTGTTAGGCTCGACCTCGACCTTTAGATCCGAAGAAGATACCACTTTCGCCTTGTACATCGAGCTTGCTGGCCCGACGTTGGTAACAGTCCTCGAAAACGTGATTTCCGAAGGCCTCGAACTAAATCTCGCACTCATCGAAGGGTAGTTGAGGTCTTTAATCGCCAAATCCGATCCTTTTGGGCAACTTACTGCTCTTCCTGCGATGGCTTTAAGCTTGCTGGCAGTGTAATTCGCCGAGCAAAGCATCTTTAAGTAGTCATCTCCAGTTGTTTCGTAGACAAGTCCCGGATCCGCCGCCTTTGTCGGGTTCAGATGTCCCGATCCGTACGCGAATTCGTTCACTTCTTCACTGCTCGAAACGTTCATCGGCCAAGCTGCAAAGAATACCTCAAAACTCAGTTTGAGGTTGTCTGAATATCGAACAAATAGAGAGTTCGAAATGTTTCGGGTTTTAGTTACTTACCAGTTGTCATGATCGCAGATTTGATAGTGGATGGGGACCATTTCGGGTGGACGCTCTTGAGATAAGCCGCAACGCCAGCTACGTGAGGACAAGACATGGATGTTCCGGACAAGAAACTGTACGAGGAACGTCGTCCATCGTCGGGTCCAGGCACCAGGGTAGCCTCAGCCGAATAAGCTGCGAGAATATTCACTCCTGGAGCCGTTATATCGGGCTGCAAACACGTTTTCAACATCATTTTCCTCGATGAAACGCGTCACGAAAACGTGTATAATTCGATCACAAGTCAAAAACTTTTAACGTATTTTTTACCTTCAAGATATCACCGAGTACAATGTTCGGACCACGGGAAGAGAAAGAGGCCATAACAGGAGCATCAGCACCGTTTGTCGTCTCGGTTTTCAGTATAGTTCCTTCAGGTTTTCTGTCAGATCATCGAAGATATAAAAATCTCGAGAAATCAGAAATTTTTCGGGGTTTATGAAACAACGAAAAGGTGTAAGAAAAATGTTCTTACGCTGTCGATTTGATGTAAGATGTGAGCAACGAGTACTGATCTTCAGGCAGGACTGCAAGAGGAACTGTACTAATAACAGGACGTGAAACTTTTCCCTGAATGATAACTCCAACAGCTTTTGAAGATTCGATATCGACTTCGTCGATCGGCTGATCACACACCAGAATCTTTCCGTCTAACGAGAAATCAATACATCCTATGCTGCACATCCTGCGGAAATTCGCCACGAAATCTCGATTGAAGATTCGGGTTTTCGAGTTCATAGCCATTCAAAACAAGGGAATTGCAGAGCTTTCTACCTGACTTCTTCTTTTAATACCTGACATCGTCTTCGCCGCAAGAACTCGAACTGGATTCTCCGTACGAGAAAGGAAACTTTGTTCCGTTCGACTTGAAGCCGTTGATCGAAGTTCCCTGTTAGATCGATCACATCAGTTGAGTTCATGTTCTTGATCGGACGAAATTAATTTTAAGCCTCAATGTATGTGAACTGAGAAAACTTACAGATAATTCCTTGCCATTTCCAAGAGCAACCTTGGTGACAAATTTCCGATCTGTTGTACTCGCTGCGACGGTTAGAATCCACGGAGAGTTACTACCGACCGTTCCAGAGGTCGGGCCGCTGTTTCCCGCCGATTGTACGGTCAAAACCCCTTTCTCCATAGCGTGAAAAGCCGCGATAGAGATCGGGTCAGATTCCAAAACAACAGGGTCTCCTCCAATGGAAATCGTGATAACATCGACACCATCAGCTATAGCATCATCAAAAGCCGCCAAGATTGCTCCAGTATCGCACGATTCCCCCTCACAGACTTTGTACATAGCGATTCTGGCCGAAGGGACACCTCCTTGCGCCGTTCCGTTTGCCATCCCATAGAAGCTTGCGCCTTCTACTTTGCTCCCTGCAGCCGTTGAAGAAGTGTGTGTTCCGTGACCATGAAAGTCCCGAGCCGATTTATCGATGTAAAACCTTGCTCCTATCAACTTGCTACATCAACGATAAAGAAAAGGTGACTTCGAGTTTTCGTATGAATCAACAAAGGTTCTGAAAGAGTTGTTCTTTACTTGTTACAGGTGAAGTTCGATCCTCCTTTGCAAACGCCCTTCCATTTTGCGGGCGGAGAGCTGAGGCCTTTGTCTGAAAAGCTCTTGGACTCAGGCCAGATCCCGCTGTCGATAACCCCGACTACAATATCGCTCTCGACCTCAGGGTTATGTTTGAATTTGTCGCCAAACCCCATGAAATCCCAAGATTTCGTCGTCTGAAGAGATAACTTAACGCTTGGGAAGACCGAAACTACACCTTCCATGGCTGTAAATGTACGTACCGGTTAAAAAAAAGTCATGAAAATCGAAGAATACGATGCGAAAAAAGGAATTTCTTGATGGAAAAAGTGTCTAAAAACTCACCAGAAAGCTTCTCTCTTTCGGATTCAGTCAACTTCGCCTCAAAGCCATTGAAACTCCTTCCGTAGTTTCTGACCAATGAGTTTTCGAGAGAACTGCATAAAAAAAACGAAGTAAAGATCGATCCATAACGCCGAAAACATAAAAGAAAAAGAGATATAATATCGAAACTTAACCTGGTAACTTGTTGAAGGATGTGTTGATGGTGAGACATAGCTGAATATTGACTGTCAGAAGGGAGAGCTCCCATATAGACGATGTACGCCTGCAAGTGTCGTTATCATGATGAAAAAAAAGTTTTCCGGATCGAAAATATCGAGAAAAAGACAAAGGGAAGCTCGCCTTTCGATCATCCTCGACAGTTGCAGAAGCCGAGGATAAGCAGAGAAGGAGGAGAGAGGAGAGGGAGAGGAAACCAAGGGAAGCCATTGCTGAGTTTCAGACATGAGTCTGGGGCATGTTTATTATATAGATATGAAATGATTCTGCATTTACTCTGGAGGGATTTTTACTTGTTTTGATCAATAATGAATGGTATCTTAAGATTTTGAACAATCTTCTATGAAACAAGATTATGTGAATCTGACTATACACTCCTTCATTTGGCCAAAATATGTCTGATTCCATTCCATATTAAGGTGCAAGAAACAAATTTTAGAAAGAAAAAAAAAAGACATAACAGGTACAAGTACATTCATCCTTTGCATAAACATATCAAACATCCTTTGAACATGGTCTCATGGTCTGTCAATCTATCTAATTAAGCTTCATGCATGCATGCGCATGGACGTACGAATAACCAGAAACTTTTATTTAATTTCCTCCTCTATTGGCCTTAAATTAAATGCAATTGAGTTTAAGCCACGAAGAGTTGGGTTCATCATCCCATTTAGTGAATCTGTTTGCGAGAGAAAGGAGCGTTCAAGTGCTCGAGGAACGTCACCGAGCATATGGGTTCATTGATTTCTCCGGTGCCGGGAGAGCACTGAGTCCTGAGGTCGGTGTCGTGACGAAGGTTCTGGGTGGATAGAGATTTGGTGTTTTCTTCAAATATTCAGCATAAAGAGATTTAGAAGTTCGGGATTTCGGGTATACTGGCACTCTGGATATAACCAGCGAAACTGGGGTTTTCGATAGATTGTTGTGTGGGTTAACTCGGAAAACTTGTCGTTTCGATAAGAGGCGAGTGCAAACTCGAGAAACGCATTTGAGAACTCGAGATGGGGCGTTACGGAGCCGGAAAATTTGCGCCAAAGCTTGAAGGTTGTGTCAGTGATAAGAAGTGTATATTGCCGTGTTTGTGTTTCAAGCTAAGAAAACAGAGTACGCGTCTCTGATAGAGATTTTGAAGAACCAACAAGGACGACGGAGCAGGGGACGCCACGAGAATCCCCGAGGGATTCGGGCTTCCGATCTTTGCCTCCTCGGTTTTCATCACCCGGGTCTTGCTTACTTTCTCCGATACGTTCTTCATATGCCTCTCGTCCTCTGTATCAACGGATAGCGCCATTGATATAATTCTAAAAGACAGAATCATACAAAAAGAAAACAATCTCATCGGATATTAGAGGATGGAATCGAATGATATTATTACCAAAAAGAGAGATTTTTGAATAATTAGAAGGTAGTAGCGATAGTACGGATTCCGACGGGAATGGAACTGAAATCAGAATGTCATTACAGCACAAGTCCGTAAGAGTATATGACAATGGGACTTCTGACAGTACGAGAACCGTCGGACCAGACCAGAGTCGCCGACTGGAAATCCACAGAACTAATCCCCGAAACCTTAACGGTGAACGACTTCTTCTCGCCAACCGATTTGAAAGAGAGGGTGTTAGGCTTGATCTCGACCTTTAGATCCGAAGAAGATACCACTTCCGCCTTGTACGTCGAGCTTGCCGGACCGACGTTGGTAACAGTCCTCAAAAACGTGATTTCCGAAGGCCTCGAACTGAATTTCGCGCTCATCGAAGGGTAGTTGAGATCTTTAATCTTCAAGTTCGATCCTTTCGGGCAACTCACAGCTCTTCCCGCGATGGCTTTAAGCTCGCTGGCAGTGTAATTCGCCGAGCAAAGCATCTTTAAGTAGTCATCTCCTGTTATTTCGTAGACAAGTCCCGGATCTGCCGCCTTTGTCGGATTCAGATGTCCCGATCCGTACGCGAATTCGTTCACTTCTTCACTGCTCGAAACGTTCATCGGCCAAGCTGCAAAGAATACCTCAAAACTCAGTTTGAGGTTGTCTGAATATCAAACAAATAGAGAGTTCGAAATGTTTCGGGTTTTAGTTCGGTACCGGTTGTCATGATCGCAGATTTGATAGTGGATGTGGACCATTTCGGGTGGACGCTCTTGAGATAAGCCGCAACGCCAGTTACGTGAGGACAAGACATGGATGTTCCAGACAAGAAACTGTACGAGGAACGTCTTCCATCGTCGATTCCAGGCACCAGGGTAGCCTCAGCCGAATAAGCTGCGAGAATATTCACTCCCGGAGCCGTTATATCGGGCTGCAAACACGTTTTCAGCATCATTTTCCTCGATGAAACTCGTCACAAAAACGTGTATAATTCGATCACAAGTCAAAAACTTTTAACGTATTTTTTACCTTCAAGATATCACCGAGTACAGTGTTCGGACCACGGGAAGAGAAAGAGGCCATAACAGGAGCATCGACACCATTTGTTGTCTCGGTTTTCAGTATAGTTCCTTCAGGTTTCCTGTCAGATCATCGAAGATATAAAAATCTCGAGAAATTAGAAATTTTTCGGGGTTTATGAAACAACGAAAAGGTGTAAGAAAAATGTTCTTACGCTGTCGATTTGATGTAAGATGTGAGCAACGAGTACTGATCTTCAGGCAGGACTGCAAGAGGTACTGTACTAATAACAGGACGTGAAACTTTTCCCTGAATGATAACTCCAACAGCTTTTGAAGATTCGACATCGACTTCTTCGATCGGCTGATCACACACCAGAATCTTTCCGTCTAACGAGAAATCGATGCATCCTATGCTGCACATCCTGCGGAAATTCGCCACGAAATCTCGATTGAAGATTCGGGTTTTCGAGTTCATAGCCATTCAAAACAAGGGAATTGCAGAGCTTTCTACCTGACTTCTTCCTCGCCGCAAGAAGTCGAACTGGATTCTCCGTACGAGAAAGGAAACTTTGTTCCGTTCAATTTGAAACCGTTGATCGAAGTTCCCTGTTTGATCGATCACATCATTTGAGTTCATGTTCTTGATCGGCCGACATTAATTTTAAGCCTCAATGTATGTGAACTGAGAAAACTTACAGATAGTTCTTTGCCATTTCCAAGAGCAACCTTGGTGACAAATTTCCGATCTGTTGTACTCGCTGCGACGGTTAGAATCCACGGAGAGTTACTACCGACCGTTCCAGAGGTCGGGCCGCTGTTTCCCGCCGATTGTACGGTCAAAACCCCTTTCTCCATAGCGTGAAAAGCCGCGATAGAGATCGGGTCAGATTCCAAAACAACAGGGTCTCCTCCAATGGAAATCGTGATAACATCGACACCGTCGGCTATAGCATCATCAAAAGCCGCCAAGATTGCTCCAGTATCGCACGAGTCCCCCTCACATACTTTGTACATAGCGATTCTGGCCGAAGGGACACCTCCTCGCGCCGTTCCATTTGCCATCCCATAGAAACTTGCGCCTTCTACTTTGCTCCCTGCAGCCGTTGAAGAAGTGTGTGTTCCGTGACCTTGAAAGTCCCGAGCCGATTTATCGACGTAAAACCTCGCTCCTATCAACTTGCTGCATCAACGATAAAGAAAAGGCGACTTCGAGTTTTCGTATGAATCAACAAAGGTTCTGAATTTAAGGTTCTGAAAGAGTTGTTCTTTACTTGTTACAGGTGAAGTTCGATCCTCCTTTGCAAACGCCCTTCCATTTTGCGGGCGGAGAGCTGAGGCCTTTGTCTGAAAAGCTCTTGGACTCAGGCCAGATCCCGCTGTCGATAACCCCGACTACAATATCGCTCTCGACCTCAGGGTTACGTTTGAAATTGTCGCCAAACCCCATGAAATCCCAAGATTTCGTCGTCTGAAGAGATAACTTAACGCTTGGGAAGACCGAAACTACACCTTCCATGACCCCGACGACAATATCGCTCTCGACCTCAGGGTTACGTTTGAAATTGTCGCCAAACCCCATGAAATCCCAAGATTTCGTCGTCTGAAGAGATAACTTAACGCTTGGGAAGACCGAAACTACACCTTCCATGGCTGTGTATGAACGTACCGATTCAAAAAACGTAATGAAAATCGAAGAATACGATGCGAAAACACGAATTCTTGATGGAAAAAGTTTCTGAAAACTCACCAGAAAGCTTCTCTCTTTCGGATTCAGTCAGCTTTGCCTCAAAGCCATTGAAACTCCTTCCATAGTTTCTGACCAATGAGTTTTCGACAGAACTGCAAAAAAAAACATAGTAAAGATCGATCCATAACGCCGAAAACGTAAAAGAAAAAGCGATATAATATCGAAACTTGAGGATACTAAACCTGGTAACTTGTTGAAGGATGTGTTGATGATGAGACATAGCTGAATATTGACTGTCGGAAGGGAGAGCTCCCATATAGACGATGTACGCCTGCAAGTGTCGTTATCACCACTGTTACAATCCTTTGATGAAAAAAAACAGTTTTTCAGATCGAAAATATCGGGAAAAAGACAAACGGAAACTCGCCTTTCGATCATCCTCGACAGTTGCGGAAGCCGAGCATAAGCAGAGAAGGAGGAGAGAGGAGAGGGAGAGGAAACTAAGGGAAGCCATAGTTGAGTTTGAGTTTGAGTTTCAGACATGGAACTGGGGCATGTTTATTATATAGACATGAAATAATTTTGCATTTACTCTGGTGGGATTTTTTACTTGTTTTGATCAATAATGAATGGTATCTTATAATTTTGAACAATCTTTTATGAAACAAGATTATGTGAATCTCTTATAAAAAAAAGATTATGTGAATCTGACTATAAACTCCTTCATTTGGCCAAAATATGGCAGATTCAATTCCATATTAAGGTGCAAGGAATAGATTCTATAAAAAAAAAAATCAAATTCATGTATAAAAAAAGACGACAGATACAATACATTCATCCTTTGCATAAATATATAAAACGTTATGTAAATAAGGCCTTAAGTTTCACGGTATGTCAATTTATTATAGTTAGGAAATCTTCCAGGTTCGATGTTTTACCAATTTTAATTAACAAACTTATCTTATTAAGCGTCGGTTCATGCATGCATGGCCTTACGTATAACCAGAAAGACATAACAGATACAAGTGTATTCATCCTTTCCATAAATATATCAAACATCCTGTGAATCTGGTCTTTTAGTTTGGTTTCATAGCTGGCCCCGAGCCACGGTGGCCGGGATGAGTGTACGAGACCACGGCCACGAGTCTGTAACGCTTAGCCCTTCTCCCTCGGAGTCACGCGGTCGGTCACCGCTTCACCACGGTTGCAGCCTCGTCAAATGTCCGGCCACCGCTTAACCCGACAACCCATCACGTTCAAGTTCAACCGACCTTTGATGGAAGGATACTGAAGAAAGGAAACGAGGCCGATCCGCTGCTTCTGTCTGCTCCAGTGGCTTCGCTTTTTCCGAGACGTTAGGAGGACTCAGTAGTTCAACCGGTGAAAGGAGGATGTAATTGCAAAGCATCTGTTCTGTCCCGGGTTCGACTCTCAATTTTGGGAGGGGTCGTATATTCCAAAACATATGATTGGTTTCCGATCCCAAGATTAGTCTGAAACTTGGTGCAATATACTCGGTTACCAATAAAAGAAACAAGTCGGGAGATACGTATCAGTTCCCGTAACAATAACCTCTGAGACAAGAAACAGATTTTCATGGTAAAACCGATCGAATCAGAATCCAAGACAAGTTCATAAAACCTGATTGATGAACGATATCGAGTTCTGTTCTTTCTTCGCTAAGTTTTCAGAACATAGATTATCTGTCTGGATATGGATTTTGTACTCATCATCCTTAACAAGTTATTTTGAGAAATTTAATCAAATTAAAAACCAACAAATAACATTTTTAATAGGCCAACAACGTTTTGAAACCTGAAAAAATTCATAATCATAAGGAAAGAAAATAATCTCATTTATTACCGAAAGAGTTTTGAATAATAGAATATAGTAGTGAGAGTACGATTCAGACAGTGAATGGAACATAAAACAGAATGTCGTTACAGCCCAAGTCCTAAGTATATATGACAACGGGACTTCTCACAGTACGGGAACCGTCCGACCAGACCAGAGTCGCCGACTCAAAATTCCTAGAACTCATCCCCGTAACCTTAACGGTGAACGACTTCTTCTCGCCTACGGATTTGAAAGAGAGGGTGTTGGGCTCGATCTCGATCTTTAGTTCCGAAGAAGATACCACTTCCGCCTTATACGTCGAGCTTGCCGGCCCGACATTGGTTACAGTCCTCGAAAACGTGATTTCCGAAGGCTTTGATGGGGAGCTCCAATCGAATCTAGCGCTCATCGAAGGGTAGTTGAGATCTTTAACCGCCAAGTTCGATCCTTTCGGACAACTCACGTCTCTTCCCGCGATGGCTTTAAGCTCGCCCGCACTGTAATCCATCGAGCAAAGCATCTGTAAGTAGTCATCTCCTGTTATTTCGTAGATAAGTCCCGGATCCGCCGCCTTTGTCGGGTTCAGATGACCAGATCCATATGCGAATTCGTTCGCTGCTTCGCTGATCGAAGAGTTCATCGGCCAAGCTGCATGAAATACATTAAAACTCAATTCAACATTGTCAGAAAATCGAACATATACAGAGATCGAAATGTTTCGGTTTTAGTTACTTACCGGTTGTCATGATCGCGGACTTGATAGCGGACGGGGACCATTTCGGGTGGACGGTCTTGAGATAAGCCGCGACGCCAGCTACATGAGGACAAGACATGGATGTTCCGGACAAGAAATTGTACGAGGAACGTCGTCCATCGTCGGTTCCAGGCACCAGGGGAGCCTCAACCGAATAAGCCGCGAGTATATTCACTCCCGGAGCCGTTATATCGGGCTGTAATCATGTTTTCAGCATCATTTTCCCGGATGAAACTCGCCATGAAAACGCATATAACTTCGATCACAAGTCGGAGACTTTTAACGTATTTTCTTACCTTCAAGACGTCGAGTATAATGTTCGGACCACGAGAAGAGAAAGAGGCCATAAGAGGAGCATCGGCACCATTTGTCATCTCCGTTTTCAGTATAGTTCCTTCCGGTTTCCTGTCACATCATTGACGATTTAACAACTCGAGAAAACAGAGATTTTTCAAGACAACAAAAAGGCGTAAAAACAGGTTCTTACGATGTCGATTGAATGTAAGATGTGAGCAATGGGTACTGATCTTCAGGCAGGACACTAAGAGGAATTCCAGTAATAAAAGGACGTTTAACTTTTCCCTGAATGATAACTCCAATCGCTTTTGAAGATTCGACATCGACTTCTTTAATCGGCTTGTCACACACCAGAATCTTCCCGTCCAGTGAGGAATCGATGCATCCTGATTCGCATCTCCTGCAGAAATTCGCCACGAAATCTTGATTGAAGAGTTGGGTTTTCGTGTTCATATCCGTTCAAAACAGGGGAATTGCAGAGTTTTATACCTGACATCGTCTTTGCTGCAAGAACTCGAACCGGATTCTCCGTATGAGAAAGGAAATTTCGTTCCGTTTAGTTTGAAACCGTTGATCGAAGTTCCCTGTTAAATCGATCACATCAGTTTTTTAGTTCATGTTCTTGATCTGACAACATGAACTCCAAACCTTAAATATATATGAACTGATAAAACTTACAGATAGTTCTTTTGCCATTTCCAAGGGCAACCTTGGTGACAAATTTCCGATCCGTTGTACTCGCTGCGACGGTTAGAACCCATGGAGAGGTACTACCAACCGATCCAGGGACCGGGCCGCTGTTTCCGGCCGAGTTTACAGTCAAAATCCCTTTCTCCACAGCGTGAAAAGCCGCGATAGAGATGGGGTCAGATACCAAAGCTGTTGGGGCTCCTCCGATGGAAATCGTAATAACGTCGACACCGTCGGCTATAGCATCGTCAAAAGCCGCCAAGATTGCTCCGGTATCGCACGATTTCCCATTGCAGACTTTGTACATAGCAATTCTGGCCGAAGGGATGCCTCCTCTTGCCGTTCCATTCGCTATCCCATAGAAGCTTGCGCCTTCTACTTTGCTCCCTGCAGCCGTAGAAGAAGTGTGTGTTCCGTGACCTTGGAGGTCCCGAGCCGATTCACCGACGTAAAACCTCGCTCCTATCAACTTGCTGTATCGATTGTAAATAAAAGGCGGCTTCGGGTTATCATATGAGTCAAGAAAGGTTATGAATTTAGGGTTCTAAAAGAGTGTTCTTTACTTGTTACAGGTGAAGTTCGATCCTCCTTTGCAAACGCCCTTCCATTTTGCGGGGGGAGGGCTGAGGCCTTTGTCTGAAAAGCTCTTGGACTCGGGCCATATCCCACCGTCGATAACCCCGACGACAATATCACTCTCGACCTCGGGGTTATGTTTGAATTTGTCGCCAAACCCCATGAAATCCCAAGATTTCGTCGTATGAAGATCTAACTTGATGCTCGGGAAGACTGAAACTACGCCTTCCATGGCTGCGAAATGCGAATGTACCTTTGCATTCAGGAAAATCGAAGAATACGATGCGAAAACAGGAATTCTTGATGGAAAAAGTTTCTCAAAACTCACCAGAAAGCTTCTCTCTTTCGGATTCAGTCAGCTTCGCCTCAAAGCCATTGAAACTCCTTCCGTAGTTTCTGACCAATGAATTTTCGACAGAACTGCAAAAAAATAACCAAAGTAAAGATCGATCAATAACGCCGGAAACGTAAACAGAAAAGCGATATAACATCGAAACTTGAGGATACTTAACCTGGTAACTTGTTGAAGGATGTGTTGATGGTGAGACGCAGCTGAATATTGACCGTCAGAAGGGAGAGCTCCCATATAGACGATGTACGCCTGCAAGTATCGTTATCACCACTGTTATAATCCTTTGAAGAAAAAAATAGTTTTTCGGATCGAAAATATCGGGAAAAAGACAAAGGGAAACTCGCCTTTCGATCATCCTCGACGGTTGCAGAAGCCGAGGATAAGCAAAGAAGGAGGAGAGAGGAGAGGGTGAGGAAACTAAGGGAAGCCATTGTTGAGTTTGAGTTTGAGTTTGAGTTTCAGACATGGAACTGGGGCATGTTTATTATATAGACATGAAATTTGGAAATGGTTCTGCATTTTTTTTACTCGTTTGGATCAATGAATTGCATCTTATGACTTTTAATCATATTTTTATCAAACAAGATTGTATGAATCTGATTATAAATTCCTTCGTTTGGCCAAAATATGTCAGATTCCATTCCATATTAAACAAGGTGCAAGAAACAGATTTTAGAAAGGAAAAAACATTGGTGTAAAAAAAGGACATAACAATTAACAGGTACAAGTGCATTCATCCTTCCTTTGCATAAACATATCAAACATCCTTTGAACATGGTCTCATGCTCTGTCAATCTATCTAATTAAGCTTCGATTCATGCATGCATGCATGGCCGTACGAATAACCATAAATTCTTTTCTTTTTTTTCCTCTATCGGCCTTAAAGGCAATTGAGTTTTAACCACGAAGAAATGGTTCCATCATCGCATTTGGTAAGAGAAATCTCGATTTTCTTTGGTTGATTATCTTGAGATTAATATAGAACAATGCCACCTTTTAGCTTTTTAAACATTAAAAAAAATGTTACAGAAACCATATTATTATGGAATTTTTATGAAACCAGAAATAGGAATGGAAACTTTGCTGAAAAAAATTCTTCTTTCTCCATTGATTATTAAGCGTCTCCTTTACACCAATATACAGATAAGAAGGAATCTAATGCAAAACTAATTTACAACAACCTAACAAATTCAACAAAACAAAATGACAGATGTCGAAGCTACAAATGACCAAATTAAAACAGTTAAACCAGAATTGGTTTTGATAACCAAAGCTGAAATAACCGAGATAACCGAGCCATTCGGTATGTAAACTCTAAGATTCCCCCTCAAGATGGAGACACTACAAAAAAATCAGCAAATTCCAACGAATTTTCCAACGGATTTATCCGTTGGAAATTTTTCAACGGATTTTCAACGGTTTTCAACGGCATTTCAACGGTGATTTCCGTTAAAAATCCGTTGAAAATTTCCAACGGATATCCGTTGGAATCGCCCGTTGGAAATTTTTAACGGAATTTTCAACGTATTCAATTGAAAAAATTAGGGTTGAAATTTTCCAACGGTATTTCCAACGGATATCCGTTGGAATTTTTTTTGGAAATTTAAAAAAAAAATTCCAACGGAATTCCAACGGATGTCAGTTGAAATTTTTTTTGGAAATTTTAAAAAAAAATTCCAACGGAATTCCAACGGATGTCGGTTGGAAATTTTTTTGGAGATTTAAAAAAACAATTCCAACGGAATTCCAACGGATGTCGGTTGGAAATTTTTTTGGAAATTTTAAAAAAAAAATTCCAACGGAATTCCAACGGATGTCGGTTGGAAATTTTTTTGGAGATTTAAAAAAAAAATTCCAACG